ATGGGAGCTGTAGTCCAAATCTTCTGAAAGGCACCAGGCTAGGGGACATCATTCCAGGTACGATGGGAGGAGAGGGGAAAGAACAAGCCACAGGACTGATGCATCCAGTTTCAGCCTAGTTTTATATATTCATGCACACTTATTTAATAGGCGCATTTCATTGTCACTCTGACACATAGTCACAGTGACAATGAAATGTGCCTGAATCGTAAGTATGCATGTTGAGGGCACAAAGACCAATCAGCAGTCAAGGTCAGTTGGCCAATGTGGAAGACCAGAAATGCTTCTGTTAAGTAGACAGTGGTCACTGTCTCTGAGAGGTGTGGGCAGTGCTGCTGAAGGGCTTGCAACCACTGGGGAGGGGAGAACAGCAGGGGGGGTTTGACCTTCTCAGAGTTTCCATGCCCCCCCCTTTTAAACATCTTATTTTTTTTAAGAGGGGGAGGAAGGGTATGAGTATAGCAGTTAAGCCTCATTTATTTCAGTAGCTGACTTTGCTCTCTCCCATTGGAAAAGAAGTGGGTTCAAAACAGTTAACTTTGACTGAATTGTGCCCTAAGGTTCTAGCCCCTTTGAGGCACAAAGCTGTAGGAGGCAATGAGGAGGCAGTTTTACATCCAATTGTTCAGTAAGAAGTAAACATGCTCTTGGGGAATAATCCCATATCTTATGTGGCAGCAAACCTGGCTTTACAATGAAATATGCACTTGACTGGGACGTGGGTGGTGCTGTGGGTTAAACCACAGAACCTAGGACTTGCTGATCAGAAGGTTGGTGGTTCGAATCCCCGCGACGGGGTGAGCTCCTGTTGCTCGGTCCCTGCTCCTGCCAACCTAGCAGTTCAAAAACCTGTCAAGTGCAAGTAGATAAATAGGTACCGCTCCGGTGGGAAAGTAAACGGCGTTTCCATGCGCTGCTCTGGTTCGCCAGAAGTAGCTTAGTCATGCTGGCCACATGACCTGGAAGCTGGACGCCGGCTCCATCAGCCAATAAAGTGAGATGAGTGCCGCAACCCCAGAGTCAGTCACAACTGGACCTAATGGTCAGGGGTCCCTCTACCTTTACCTTTATGCACTTGACTGGGAGTGGCCGCCTGTCCAGGATCTTTACGTATCTGTATACCAGTGGTGTCCAAACTTTTTTCAAAGAGGGCCATATTTGATGAAGTGTAGGGCCGTGAGGGCCGACCAAAGTTGCTGAGCTTTTTTTAGGGTTGAAGTTGCTGAGCTTTTTTAGGATTGACGTTATTGAGGTTTTTAGGATTTTACCCCAAGAAATAATAAACTGCCACGGGGGCTGGGTTAAACCGACTGGCAGGCCGGATTAGGCTCCCGAAACGGACTTTGGACAAGCCTGCTGTATACAGACTCCGCTAACCCAGAAATAGTGCTTCAGGTTAAGAACTTTGCGTCAGGATGAGAACAGAAATCGTGCTCCAGCGGTGCGGCAGCAGCAGGAGGCCCTATTAGCTAAATTGGTGCTTCAGGTTAAGAACAGTTTCAGGTTAAGTACGGACCTCCGGAACGAAGTAAGTACTTAACCCGAGGTACTACTGTACCTCATCGTATTATTAGACATTCGCCTTAGGAACAGCGAGGGGAAAGGCTCTGGGAAGAGTGGCAGGTACAAATTTTGGAACGTTGCACCAAAATCCACTTTATATATAAAAGGAATGGTTGAATGAATGAAGCAGCCCCAAATATATTAAATGACTTCTGTTTGGGATCTCTTGCTATTTTGCTTCAATGTACAATGCCCCACCTGGCTAGAGGCCTGCCTGTCACATTTGTGATGCCAGCAAGCTACAAGCTTCAGTGCTCCATCACCAATCTTTGCACTTTCGAAATTGACTGCTAGCCTTGTCTCCGGGTACCCAAAGGCTGACACTGCAGCTCTCCATTGCTCAGGCTAACCTGAGGCTTCAGGCTCGGAGCCACTTAAGTACCGTACTTGGCATCCTGCTTCTCCACTCATTTTTCCTGGCAGTGGTTTTAATTTTGTCTCTCCAGCTCCTGAATGAATTTGTTTTCTCTTGGATCCTTGTGGCGTATTGAAAGGCTTCTCACGTTTGGGTGCCTGCAATCACAGATGCGTTTGTTTTAAAGGGATGAATCAGTCTTCTGAGCCTAAGCATGTCCAATTTAGGCACGAGATTTCATTGAAGGCTTTTATTTTCATTATACATTTTTTTTTTAAAAAAACTACCCTACAACAACAGCAGTACACAAGCAACCTTTCACGCACCACTTTCTCCCAGCACGGGAGTTAAATATTTATTTTCCATTAAAAGCAACACATCTTTTGGATCTAAAATCAGAAAGCAAAAACGGGGGGGGGGGGGATAGCAGAAGAGTTTGAGCTGGATTCTGAATTTAACAGCCCCAGATTTTCTTGTATGTATGTATGTATGTGTACACACACTATATAGATATAAAAAAACTCTATCTATCTATCTATCTATCTATCTATCTATCTATCATCTATCTATCTATATAAACAAGGGCTGCAGCCAAGTGGCAAGGTACTGACCTGAATGAAACTGTCAAAATAGGGAGCCCAGAATAACATGAATTCAAATACGCAGAGTTTGTGATAATCACTAGCACTACTATCATGTGAGTGATGAAGACACAACATCTGGTCCTCCTATTAAGCAAAGAGCCCAGATGTTGAATGGATGGATAACTTCGACAGAAGGCTTTTCTACTCCTTTGCTTCCTTTTTAAACTTTTCGGCAGCCCTTTCACCCTCGCGAAAGGTGGGTGGGAGTGAACAGGATCTCCCGGGTCATCATCTTCTGAGAAAGGCACCTCGGTTCCATAATCCTAGATGGCAGCGCCCCCCCCTCGCTTGCCCCTCCTCCCTCTTTCCCCCTTCCAACCCTCCATGGGAAGAGAGTTAAGATGTATCTGCGATCCCTCTTCGGTGTCCATTCATCCCTCGGAGTTCTTACAAACAAGCCCGAGGTCCAGCGCAAGGAACCTGAGCTGCTCGCCTGCGCACGAGCCGCTCTCCCGGAGGGTCGCTGTTGGTCGTCTCAGGATGCTGGGAAGCCTTCCATCCTCCCCTCCCCTCCCCTCTTCTTCCACCTGCGACCCCGGGGCCACGCTTCCTGGCTGTTTCTCGAGAGTTGCGCTCAGGCTTCCCCTCTTCAACATGTTCAAAAAAATATCCCCCTCCCCGTGCGCAAAACTGGCACCACTCTGCGCCTTCCTGTGGCGATGGGCTTCCCTCCCCGTTCTGAGAAAGCAGATTTCCACACATCTTTTCCCCATATCCCCTTAAAAGAGAGAGAAAGAGAGAGAGAGAGAGAGAGAGAGAGAGAGAGAGAGAAGCATTTGCAAATCCTTGATCCAAACTCAACTCTCCTTTCTCGGTTGCTTCCTCCTGCTGCTGCGTGCGTGGTTGCTGCTCCTGCTGCACACACACACACGCGCGCACACTTCGCCGCCCCCCCCCCATAGGAGCTGCTTCTCCATCTCTTCTCTGTTGCCTTTTCGCCCAGACTATATTCAGTAGTGAGGCTCTGCAATCACGTGGGTCCTCGGTTTGATGCGGGGGGGGGGGAGAGGATCGAGTTGGAGGAGGGGGGTGCCTCCGCAGTTTGCTGTTTGCTGGGGCTCGGAGACGCGCGCGCGCACACACACGCACACGGAGAGACTCTCTCTCTCTCTCTCTCTCTCTCTCTCTCTCTCTCTCACACACACACACACACACACACACGCACGCGCACACACACTCACCCACGGAGTGCTCAAGAGCTATTGCTGAAGTCTAAGGCTGGCTGCTTGCTCTACTGCTGCTGTCGCTTGTCGCCTCCTACCAAGCTGGGATCTATCTCTCGACATACATTTTTAAAAACCTCAACCTCGTTCCTCCTCCTTTCTTTTTGCTGTGGCTCCATCGTTGCTGGTGGCTTTTTGGGGGTTGTGCTTTTTTTTTCCTTTCCCCTTTGGGTTTTTTTCCGCCTTGCGCTTTCCGACTTTCAAACCTCAAGCTTGGAAATTACTTAGGTTTTGGGGAGGTTGGGATTTTTTCTATTCCCCCCCCCCAAAAAAAAAATCTGGGCATCTTTCCTCTCTCTTTCCTTGCTCTCCACCTCCTTCCCTCTCCCCATCTCGGTGGCTTTTCGCCCCCAATCCGGGCTGATGTGCTGTACGAGGGGTCTGAAATGGAAGTACTGATGCTTTGGTTTTTCCCTTGGATATTTCAATGCGTTACGGTGCGAGCGGACTCCATCATCCACATTGGTAAGGGGAAGAAGCTGGTGTGTGTGTGTGTGTGTGTGTGTGTGTGTGTGTGTGTGTGTCCCCGTCCGCGCGTCGTGTGTATGTGTGTAGATATATATGCAGGCTGCAGAGTAAGAGTGGCACATAAGCAATTACTATAAGAGTGAAAGGAGGATCGGGTCTCATTAAGGCGCAATAATAATTCTGATCCAGGAGGGAAGATGGAGAAAGCGAGTTGAACTCTAGCGACGGAAAGAGAGAGGATGGCGAGAGCTCTCGCTCGCTCGCTCGCTCTCCCTTCCTCTTCTCTTCCACGCCACCGCAAATAAAAGCCCTCTGAATGCACCTCACTGCAAAGTTAGGGGCGAAATAAGACTGTCCATTGTGAAAGCTGAATTCTCTCTCTAAATCTCCGGAGGCGGTACTGTGGAAGGTTTGCGCTTGCAGTTGCTTTCCTTAAGCAAACCCTTTCTGTGGCTTTGGACCTGTTTGCGCCTATATTACTCTCCACTTCCGAGGAGGAGGAGGAAGAGGAAGATGAGGTGGTCACACACACCACCAATCCCCACCTGAAAAGCTCCCTATAGGGAAAACTTTGGAGAGGGACTTTCCTTCTGCCCGGGCAGGTGTGGTTCTCCCAAGCCCGGACTGTGGGAGGCACACAACTGCCACTTTCAAGTTAGCTGGTGTGTTTTTGCCGGGGGGGGGGGGGAGATTGCAGGTGCCAAAGGAACGTAGTGTGGGTGCTCTGTCTGTCTGTCATTGGACTGGATGAGATTTCATTGGTGGATTACTGAGCACCGTGGTTGGGGGTGGGGTGCGGTGGGGGTCTCAAAGGTTGGATCGGGAGAAGAGGAAGCCGGAAAGGGAGAAGGGAGATCCGGGGTTCCCTAAAAGGAACTTTGAAGGAGAACGGTGGCTCGTGCCAAAGGGGGGGGGCTGCCACTGGTAGACTTTCTTCCTTGAAATTAAATAAAAGCAAAGGCCAGACTCTGCAGGGATCAGCAGGAAGAAGGAAATGAGTGTGTGTACGAGAGAGAGAGAGAAAGAGAGAGAGAGAGAGAAGGGAGCTGGGGAGCTTTTGATTCCCAAGGGTCCTGGTGAAGGGAGGCACGGGAAAGCTCCCTAGTGAGAGGCAATGCGATGGAAAAGGCTGGAGAAAAACCCAAGCAAGAGGCTCCAGCAGATGATGACATCTTTTTTAAAACTTCGTAGAGATCTTTTTAAATCAGAGGAAAGGTCTCCTCCCCGAAGGCGGGGAGAAGAGAGGGTGGGGGAGGAGAAGGAAAGGCATGTGGACAGGCTGGAGGGAGAAAGAGGGCTGGGAAATGCTTTCGGGTCCGCTCGGTGGTGGCTGATGGCAAACTCGTCCTTCTCTACTACCCCGCGTGCTCCTCTCCCGATGCCTTAAGCGGGAGGCTGGCGAGAGCAGGCCAAACAGCATTGCGGATCCCTTAAAAAAGATCGATTGGGGAGGGGAGGAGGGAGTCTGCTGTGCTACAGCTAGGTTTGGAAAGACTTTAGAGTTCTCCCTCATCACCCCAACCCCGAAGGGAGAGCGGCTAAACTTTAACTTCAGCCGCGTGAAGGAACCGGCTCAGAATGGGCGACTCTTGACGTCGGATTTCAGAGGGGCGCACAAAGCTAGGCACCTGCAGATAAAGTATCCCCCCAAATCTCCCTGTACCTGTGGATGAAGGATTCTGTTCTAGTCAGATCTCAGCCCTGCCCCCTTAGTCTCTCAGCCACCTGCCTCCCGCTCAAGTGGCGGGCGGGAAGAGGAGTCTGCGAGCAAGGATGATGGCTTCTCCAGGTTGAAGAGCGAAGCTGAACTTCGCTTTGGAATTTTGCGCACGGTGTGAGCATCTGGTTGGCATTTAAAGGCGCAGGAGAGACGTGAATAATAAGTTAGAGAGGCGGAACGTGGAGGTGGGTGGCGTGTGAGGATGAGCAGAATAATATGCTTAGGCTATTTAAAAAAAACAAAACATAACAGAGTAAAAAAACCCCCACCACTATATATTTACCTCTCTCCTCTCTCTTCACGCTCAAAGCAGGGGTATATTATGTAAGGCTTATCGCCAGATGTTTTCCTGCTAGCTGCATAACCAAGGCTCTGAAATTAAAAGCTTTCAGGTTACTGAACACAGCGCTCAGATCTCCGTTAATATGGGGCGATGCGCAGGAGGGAAGTGACGGGCAGCCCTAAGAACAGAAGGGGGGGGCACCCATTCTGGAGGCTGACGCGTAGGTGTTGTGTTGTCCTACCTTTTTGCGGATAAAACTTTTAGGAAGCCTCTCCTCCGCCTCCCCCACCCCGCGTGTCTACATCTATATAAATCAACACAGGCTAAAATCCCAAGAGCCGAGTGGAACCCCAAGCTCACGCTGCTTATAAATTGGACTGTACAGTCCGCAGGCTCCCGAGCTCGCCCACTGGCTGAAGCTGAGCAGGTCTGCGTCTGGTCAGCGCCCGGTTGGGCAGCCCCCTGGGCACCGCAGCCACGCAGCCTTGGCTCTCGAAAAAGCAGAACATAATATATTTGCAAGCAAACGAACAAGAAATGTGGTTGCCCTCTGCCACAGGGCTTCATAACCGGAAAAAATCTAATTGATCCCCACAACCCCTGAGCAAGGGAAGAGGAGAAGGTTCCCATCGCAGGCGCTCCTCTCTGCCTTGGGAATAAGGACTCTTTAGCTGCCCGTGGTGTCACAGAGGACTTGCCCTTGGTGAATATAAGGCACAAGGGAGCGGGAAGCTCTCCTGCGAAGCCGTGGCCTGGCCCGCAGAAACGCTTCCAGGAAGGCCTCGGGCATGTCCTCTGCCCCACACATCCCTCCTTCAAGGCAAGTACAGGACAGCAGCTAGGATGGTCTGGCCTTGTCATTTCTATTGAGTGGAGCTCAGCTGAGCAAACTTCCAGAGCTCAGTCGCGCGAGTTCCTCTTTAGCTCTCCTGTTGTAACAGCAGGGCTACGAGCGAGCGGCTTCCTGCCCTTTCAATGCATGCTAGTTCAGGGTGAACACAAAAAACTGCTTTTTATCGTTGCAGGCCAGTGGTCCACTTAAGCCAGTGTTGTCCACACGGACGGGCAGCAACTCTCCAGGTCTTCAGGCAGCCGACTTCCGCAGCTCTGCCTGGAGAGGCCGGGGATTGAACCCGGCACCTTCTGCGCGCAAAACTGATGCTCCTGACCCTTCCCCAGCCCGCATCTCTAGCTGTGTGAATCTGGGACAGGCTTGCGCACTTGTTGCAGGAGAAAAAAAAGGCCAGTTCGGGGTGTGTGGCTCCGTCAAGAAGCAGTCAGTGGGCACGACCCCTTTTTGAATAGGCTTAAATCACCCCGCGGTTTAGGAAACTGGGAAGTATATGTGCATGGAAAGTTGAGGGACGAGCGTGGATGAAGTAGCCTTCGGAGTAGAAAGCCTTTCTGGGTTCACCTTCACGCCACTGGCACGGCCTTTCCTTCCCATGTGCTGGTAATGGGGATGATGGTTTATTTGTCCTCCACCCCCAACAGGTGCCATATTTGAAGGCAACTCGGCCAAGGACGACGAGATCTTCAAGCAGGCGGTGGCGGACTTGAGCCTCAACGATGACATCTTGCAGAGCGAGAAAATCACGTACACGATCAAACTCATAGAAGCCAACAACCCCTTCCACGCCGTCCAGGAAGGTAAGGGCGACCGCGAAGGAGAAGAGAAGAGGGGCTCGCGACGCGTTGGCCTCCAGTGCGCCCCTGGAACTTGGAGAGGGCGCGGGAGATCCACTCAGGCTGGGTTGCTCTCTCCCTAGAGGCGCTATAGACGGCGGGGGCAGCAGGAGGAGATCTGGGCAGTTGTCGATCTCTTGCCCCGCCTTGCCTTTAGCTGTTGCTATGCCCGGAGAGCTTTTGCCTTTCTCGCCGATCTCTCCTTTTGCGCGCGGAATTCATGGAGGGCGCTTTGCCTAGCCAAGCCTGCGGTTCCCACGCGCCCGCCCCCCTTCTCTCTCTGTCTCTGGGAGGGGCTTCGACCCCCACCCGAGGGTAGGAGGGGGGAAGGGAGCAGGCAGCTGCCTGGCAGGGCCTGTGGCACAAAGCGGACGTTGTTTGCCGGCCGAGGTTGTGTGTGCGCGCGTGTGGTTTCTTTGCTGCGCGGCCTGGCTGAAAACTTTCCTTTCGGCCAAAGGTTGGCGCTGTTTGCCAAGGAAAAAAGCAAGCGGGGAGCGAATGAAAGCTGCAGGAGGTGTTTTGGGCGCCTTGGAGAGGCGAGCATCCTCCGGCCTCGCTTGAAGCGCTGGCTGGAGGAGTTGGTCGCTGGTTTGGAAGCTCTGAAACGAAGTGAAAGGATAAATCAGTGCAGCGCTGTCGGGCGCAGACGCGCCAGCTGCCTAAAGAAATCCGAGGCTCTCTGTGTGCGGCTGTGTGATTGTGAGTGTGTGTATACACACAGGCATATTGGAAAGGCCTGCAAGCCAGATCCTTGGAAACCTATAATCCTGGTGGGTTTCTAGTGTGCTAGAATGGAAGTGGATGAAGGGAGGGTGGTTTCTTAAAGTGGAGAAAAGGATCGAGGAACATGAAATATTCCTGTGTGGATGAAAGAGGAACACCTTTAGATATTGATATACAGTATTGCCTGTGGAAAGAGGCAGGGCAACAGGTGGATTAATTTGTGCCCGTAACTGGAGACTTCCAAGGTCCTTCAAAAGGAAGTTGCTGCCTTTAAGGCAGGTGTGGCACAGCTGTGGCTTCCAGATGTGGCTGGACTCCAACTCCCATCAGTCCTGGCCAGCATAGCCAATGGCCAGGGATGAGAGGAGTTGTGTTCTAGCAGTCTCTAGGCAGGACTGCAGCTTCTCCACCTTTAAGAATACCAATGATAAAAAAATATTATGACCCTATTCACTCCATTATACAAAGTGAGACTTGCCTGTGTGAGTAAACATGCATATGATCTGCCATGCACAAGTCTTTTTCCTGGTTGCAAAGGATTGGTTCTGTGTCTTTTGAAGAAGGAAGGGCAGGATTGGTAGCTTAGAGGGAGAGAAATGCTGAAATTGAAGGTGTAGGATATGGGAGCAGCATGAAGTGCTTTGCAGGGTGATGGGTTTGATGCTGTGTGGATGAAATGGCCCGTGGCTTCTGCCAGCAAAGTCCCTAATCAGTTTGTTAACCATCAAGGTGTTTGTGAGATTCTTTGCTGTTTCTTGCTACCCTCACCCTTTTAAATACTGTATTCCAGATGATGTGAGAAAGTGTTATGGTGTGGTATTTTTTCCGGTGTTTTGCAGTATCTCTACTCTTCTGTTTAGCCTTGGCCTATGGAGAGTCTATCCCTGCAGCAGGCAACCGAGGATAGGTGTGTGTTTGGCTATGCCGTGAACAAAACATGTTGATCTGATGTTCTGAACTGCTGCCAGAGCTATTTAAAAAAGAAAGAACAGGGACAGGGAGGTGGGAGGTGGGAGGAGGGCAACTAAACAGCAGCTTTGTGATCTGAACATTTCCTCCAACCCTGGTCTTGTTTTGTGGCACCTGTCAATCTACCATCCTGTTGGCAAGGGGACAGGAGACCCAAAGGGAAATATTAATTGGATAAGCACAAAGAAGAGCTGTTTCAGGACTCTTGTGTCCTACCCATCCCGGATGTGCTTTTTACAGCAATAAATAGAATACATTGTACGTGATCAGGAGTCGCATGTAGGAATTATCACCTAGTGTGGTGTTTCCTGAAGGGTTTTATTTTGAAAGGAGACTGACTTGCATGAAAGGAATGAATGAATGGTCGTTTTAGAAAGAGAGGGGATGTGAATGCAGGGAGAAAAGCACACTGCATCTAGATTTTTCTTGAGCCTGACCTGTGAGATCAGGCTTAGTTACTTGAAATGCGCAACTGTCACAGCATCTTTCTGTTGTAGCTACAAATAAAGCAGCATGGAAAACATGTGATAACCCGAATCTCTCCAAGTCTTGGTTCTGATCAACTGGTCAGCCTAGATGATGGAGGCAGGCAAATTGTCAACCGATATTATGTACAAATGCATTTTATTTGTGTGTTCTTGCCATGCAGCCAGTAATTCCATACAGACTTAAAGATGGTTCAGATAGGCTAGCTTAAACGACAGTCTGCAAACTATCCTCAAGTTCATAAGGTTAAGACAGTAGCTGGGCAGGTAAAGGAGTTCAAATCACAGAAGAAAACATTCTAGATCCTGCCTCAGATTAGGAATGTTATGTGGGGGGAGTTTGGTAAAGAAGTCAAGACTGGTTACTGGATGCGTTACTTCAGCAGCTGTGAAGCAGTTCTCCAGAAACGGAAAGCTATTTATATGCCTTACCAATATTACTATTCTCCCCCCTCCCCTGAACGATGAATCATTAAGCCTTTCTTACCATGCACTGGAAATAGTTACTTCACCCCCCACTTGTCAAAATTCATGCATGCTTGTAGGGGTTCTTGTTGGCTCAGCACATTTTAATGAATTTTTTTCTGGATCGTTCCCATCAAAACTTACCTCAGTTACTTGCACTTATTATAGCATATTATATTTAAATTGCTCTTTTTACTAGTGCTTTGTGCTCTCTTGGGTGTTTCTGTTCTACTTGGGGCAGCCTTTCACTTTCCATGAGATGCCAAGTTACTGGGGAAGACAACGTTTTATTTTAGTGTTGACATCAGTTTTTGCCCATAGCAAGATAGCAAGGCTCAAGGGAGGTTCAAGACAAAATTACTGTACTGTGCTTGCGCAGCACAATCCTGTGCAAATTTACTTGGAAGTAAGTCATGCTGTGTTCAATGGGACTTATTCCCAAGTAAGTGTTTCTTGCAGAGATCGGGAACCTGTGACCCTCCCAGGTGTTGTTGGACTCAAACCCCCATCAACACCTGCCAACATGGCCAATGGTCAGGGATGATGGGGACTGTAGTTCCAACCTTGCATGACTGTGTTCACAACATGCAGGGATGCAGATTTTGTATCCCTGCTTTAGATCATTGCTGCCTTAATGTATGACAGTGCAGCAGCGGCAGCAAGCGATGCAACAGCTGAGTTGTGTGTGTGTGTGTGCTTCCTATTGCATTATCTTGCACTTGAAACTAGCAGAGAATAGGGGAGTTGATTATTGTCAAAAGTTTTAGCGTACAATCAGATCTTCATAAAGCTACAAAGGATCAGTGGCCTATTTTGCAGCTGATTCATATTCATGGAAGTAACAGCAGTTGGATAGCTGAAAGAGCATTTTGAACAGTGTCTCCTCGCACAACCTTACAGCATCTCCTTCCCTGGTTTGATTGCATTTGGGATTTAAAATATGACACCCAAGCAGAGAACGGAAGCATTTGGAGCACAGAAGACTTGTATTTTCTTCCTTTGCATGGTGTGCATCCAGACACAGATATATGTATATAAAATTTGTGGTGTTTCAGTTCTATATCGGCTGAAGAAGCTATGACAAAGCTAATGTATGAGGCATACTCTGGAGAGTCCAGGGAAGAGTCTAGTCATATTTTAATCTGTTTTGGTACAGCTCATTAGGCATTGCAAAATTTTCTGCAAGACCCTGATAGGTGTTGTTTTAAACTGTCCACTCATGGGCAGTAGGCCTCTAAAATTAGAATCTCTCCCTAAGCAGAAGCTCATATGCGGGAGGGCAGATGGGATGCTGGATAAATGTTACAATTCTACTTAAGAACTACCTCTTTTGCAGAAGTTAATATGTGCTTCTCTCTCCTGGGGAGGACGACAGAGTGATCAGCTGTTCACTCAAGGGGTGTCAGAACTTTGACACGATGGGTGAGTGAATATGATAGTGGTAGCTCTATCTTGATTTCCAGGCTTCTTATTGGTGTTAGACAGACGGTTCTCTTTCTCCCCCCATCGTTTTAATTTTCTTTTCTTTTCTGTTATACAGTGTGCTGACAGAATGATGCATGGATGAGCCAGGAGCCATACCATTGCTCTGTAGTATCGTTTTGGATTGCATTCTGCTGTCACTCTTACCGTTTGTTATCTTAGTGCTGTGGTTTTTTTCCAAGATGCTCTGCTTGTTTTCCATGCAACTTTGCTAAGAGCTGTCAAAATGAAAGAAAAGATGAAGCAAATCAACTGACCTGCTCTGCGAGGACGGTGCTATGGCAGCTGCACTAAGGCCCTAAGGTGTAAAATGTTTTGTTTTGATGCTCCGTGCTTTCGTGAGCAGCGCTATATAGCAAACATTAGCGTAGCTGCAGAAGCATTTATGGTCTGTTCCTATGGTGATTTGTGCCAACAAACACCTTCGAGTAGGTATTCAACATAGCCTAATCTGCGTGTTGCCTGAATAGTATGGATGCTGTCTAGCCATGGTTGATGCTCCTTTACAGTATATATAGTCATGGGCGTAGCCTATGGTTACCAGATGTCGCTGTTTCCCAGGGACAGTCCCCGGATTTACAAATCTGTCCCCGTACAAAATCCGTCCCCGGATTTCATTTAATGTCCCTGGATTTATATTTTAAGTGTTGTAGATTTATCAGTAGGGAATGAATGTTGTGTGATTGGTTCAACGGCACAAGACACATCATAGGGACTTCCGGTGAGGCAAAATGGTGGGTGCCACAGCAGCGGGCCGCTCCTGAAGCCAGCCAGAGCCAACTGTGCTTCCAGTCTGGCTCCGGGCTGCTGAGATTGCCGCTGCTGAGAGGGAACCAGGGATGCCCGGCGCATCAACAGGGGGAACCGCTGACACCCCCCCACGACCCAAATTGAGCCAGGAGTAAGAGCGCCCAGCCGACTGTCCAGTGGTGCTCTGGGGCCAGTAAAAGCCCTGGAGCCGATGCAGGGAGAAGGAGGAGAGGAGAAGGAGAAGGAGAAGGAGAAGGAAGAGAGAGAAAGAGGAAGGAGAGAAAAGAGGGGAGCCCTGAGCTTGCTGCACCGCTGCTGCCATTGAGGAGGAGAGGTAAGAGAGCACCAGGAGGGCAAGGACATGTGGCCGAGCCCAGGCTCGACCCAAGCCTACTCCACGGTGGCTAACGCTCCAAGAGAGCAGGCTAGGGCCCAGTGGAAGGCCACGCGAAGAGACCACAGAAGAGAAGTTATTACTTCTTTTAAAATTAAATAAATATTTTTTAAATAACTTTCCCCCCCTCTTTTCAAAAAGAAAGTGTCCCCAGATTCTTTGATAAAAGTCTGGTAACCTTAGTGTAGCCAGGATTTTTGTTGGGGGGTGGAGCAGGACTTGGTTGGGGAGGCAGGACTTTTGGGGGGGGAGGGGGCACAGAAACGATGTGATTTGTCAGTTAGTTAAGTAATTCTATTATTTTACTTGATCTAGGGAGGGCAGCTTCCCCCTTGCCCCCTCCCAGCTACACTCATGTATATAATAGTCATGTCAGTGCTGCCAGTCACCATTGGCTAGGCAGGGCCTATGGCTGTGGAAACCTCCTGTGTGATCCGTCCCTCACCTTTGCAGAGCATTATGGGATGCAACCACAGAGCAGTCACATGGCTCTCTGGGAAGCCTGTGAATTCGTCCTATGATGCCACACCAGTGCTGGAGAGATGTCGCTCAAGAGCTGTAGACAGCGATATTAACGATTGAGGTGCCCAGGGTACCAGTGTTCCTTCTTTTAGAGAAGGTCAAGTAAGAAGTGAGGCAAGCTGTACCTTGGCTGTGGCTATGGTTGTCCATCAGTCAACCGGTATTTGTGCTCTTGCACAGCTGAGGATCTTGCAAGTAGTGGACTGTATCCACATTTATTCACAAGTGTATGTCTCCATGTCTCTTTTCACTCAGCTCTAAAATAAAAACCACCCGTCAAGATTCTAGCGCAGAGAGAGGATTTCCTGCAGTACCTTTGTGCCCAGGTGGAATACTATCTGCTTCTAGATAAGTTCTCACACCCCTGTAGCTAAGCAAACCCTGAGAACGCATGAGATCACCCATAAAGAATGTACGTCTATATTTTTTGGAGGTCCTGTCAGGTGTTATTCTGTCCATGAATATGAATCAAGTTACGTGAGAGAAATGACTATATAGTAAATTGTCAAACAATATTTATAAGAAAATATGGTATGAAAGCATGGAACACATGCAAAAATGCAATAGTGGTAGCTGTAATAAGCAAAAAACAAAATAAGACAGCTTTCTAAGGATCCTTGAGGATCATACTTAAATGATCTCCCTCAGCTTGTCCCAAAGGAGGAGGAAAAGGCAGCCATAATAATGTAAGGGACTGAGATGTCATAAGCCTTCCCAGATCTTCTTCTCTAAACTGGCTCTAATATTTACACCCTTTAAACTCTCATAGGTCAGCAATAATCCCCAATAAAAAAATAATAATGGGGGGGGTGTCATTGCTCTTATGCACCATATATTTAAAGCACTATTACACCACTTTGGGCTTCCCCCAAAGAATCCTGGGAACTATAGTTTCCCCCCAAGGGGCTGAGAGTTGTAAGGAGATCCCAATTACCCTCACAGAGCTCTACAATTCCCAGAGTTGTTAAACCAATCTGGGAACTGTAGTGTTGTGAGAGGCATCCTAAGTATATATAAAGCCTAAGGGTAGACAGAGGTGGCATGTAAAATAGCAGCACATTTTAAAGAGTGCTCTCATCTGCTTCCCTTTCTATTGCGCTCATAGAGTGTGGACAGTGAAAAACCACCAAAGGAATAGAAATAGACACAGGGGTGTTTGAGCCATTGAGAGAGAATGGAGAATATGAGACCATTATTTACATTTATCATTCCCTTCCTCCACCTCTGTTTTGAGCCCTTCTAGAGTTACTGATCACTGTTGTATTCTAAAAGAGAGGAATTTCACACTATTTGTTTTTGGGTGTGTACAGATGGTAGAAGGATGAACTAAAGTGAAATTGTCCAGAAAGGAAGGAGAACATAACCAATTCTATAGGAATGAAGTGGCACTTTCTGGCTGTGTTCTGAAGTAAAAGTTTACTGGAAGAAACTCAAGGAAGCGATAATGAAATTGGGGGCTTAGCATAAGATCCTCCTCATTCTGTTGGCATAGCATGCAAATTTTGGAAAATCATAATGAGACAGAACTCATCTGTTTATGGGAACAGCAAATGTTAAAAGAATTAGAGGATAAAGAAATTTCTATTAAAGAGGTTATTTGACTACACCGTCACGTACAAATTAGCTAATTTATATATGAGTTAAAGGGAAGATATGGAAAGGAGACATGTGAGAGTAGCTGGTTATTTATTATTTGTGCCATCAGTACTTTATACGACTTTAGATTATTGTGAACATAGTTTTGATTTTTAAAGACGACAAAAAAAGTGCCACAAGGATTATAGTGTGCAAGGAGATAACCAATCTTGGCAAGTACTCAAAACAACACAAATTAAAGTGACAACTATGAGCTGTTTCATACATGCACTTTCATCATTTGATGGCTTAGGATCTAATGATGTGCATCTGTGAATGATCCATCACAGATCAAAACACTAGAGAGAGAGACTCTTCATAGCATGTCACATTGACTCAATTACAACGCTTTTTCGGTGGAGTTGGTTCATCTATCTGTGAGCTATTCAGTAATTAACTGATATGCAGGCATGTGTGAATTACACTGATATGTGGCATCAAGGCTATGCAAACATTTCAGCAAACGATCAGCTTCACACTTCTAGGCACTGCATGTGATCACTCCCTTGGGAATGCTCCCAGCCTAACTTGGAATCTCGATTTGCAAGTCTATAGTAGCAGTTTTCAAACTTTCCACCTTCAAGGAATGCTTTTCCTGCTTGCCTGCCATGGGACTCCTGTATATATTGCAGAGGATTCTTGGATGAGCACTAGGTCTTGGAAAAGTGGTCTTCCGAACCTTAGCATGACACTTGTGCAATTACATTGTGTTTAATGGGACTTTGTTGTGGTTGTTTAGTCGTATCCGACTCTTCATGACACCATGGACCAGAGCACACCAGGCACTCCTGTCTTCCACTGCCTCCCACAGTTTCGTCAAACTCATGCTGGTAGCTTCGAGAACACTGTCCAACCATCTCATCCTCTGTCATCCCCTTCTCCTTGTGCCCTCAATCTTTCCCAACATTGGGGTCTTTTCCAGGGAGTCTTCTCGTCTCATGAGGTGGCCAAAGCATTGGAGCCTCAGCTTCAGGATCTGTCCTTCCAGTGAGCACTCAGGGTTAATTTCCTTCAGAATGGATAGGTTTGATCTTCTTGCAGTCCACGGGACTCTCAAGAGTCTCCTTCAGCACCACAATTACATTGTGTTTAATGGAACTTACACCCCAGTAAATATGGATTGGGAGGCTGCTATGGGGGCTTCATTTGTTCCCTTGTATTCTGGCATCTTCAGCTGCTTTCTTGACAACCGATTTCATGCTGATTCATTGGGAGGTAGCGTACATATGTGAACTTGCAGAAACCAAACCCAGCTCTCTAGAAAGAACATACGGTTGCATGCATCACTGAGTTTTAATCTGTTCTTTCAATGCTTGCTAAGCACGTGCCAGACACAGTGGAAAGTAGGGGGATCTTTTCCATGTTCCTAGAGTCCTGACAGTGTTCCTGCACAATTTGCTAACCAGTCTGCTGCCATTAAATGTTGGTGCTCAGTGGGATGAAAACGCATAATGCTTACCTCCTGGTGCCTTCCGAGACCAAACCCAGACTTGTTTAAGACTACCACCGGGAAGACATCTGCGACACTATCGTCTCGTTCTGCATGTGCTTTTATGCTTATGAGCTGCTTGATTTGATGCTCCTTCTTGGGTCTACATTGAGATGAGCTAGAAATAATGCAGAATAGCTCAGAAGGAAATCCTATTGAATTCAGTGGGACTTTCCATTAAGTGTGTGTTGGTTTGCAGCCAAAGTCTGTTCTTAATAATAATAATAATAATAAATAATTAATAATTTATACCCCGCCCACCTGGCTGGGTTTCCTCAGCCACTCTGGGCAGCTCCCAACAGAATAAAAAAGCGATAAAATATCAAACATTGAAAACTTCCCTAAACAAGGCTGCCTTCTGATGCCTTCTAAAAGTCAGGTAGTTGTTTATTTCCTTGACATCTGAAGCTTACACTCTGAGTCTTCACCTACTCTGGAGTTTTGTGAATACTAATACTAATCATAAGTAAATTTTTTAAAGTAGTGTTTCTCTGCTGGTGGGTTCTATTCTGCAAATTGCTGTGCAAGAGCTGGTGAAAAACTTTGCACAACTTGAACAGAAAACAAGCAAGATTCTCTAGATGTGTGCAAGAGATTGTGTGACAATTTACAGACCCTCCAAGTGTCTGTATTTTCCAGGGACATCCCTGATTTAGAGAAGCCGTCCCAGTTTCTGATTTGATCCCGGAATGTCCCACTTTTCCTTAGGGTGTCCCTATTTTCATTGGATAAATGTTGCAGGGTATGGAATTATCCAACTCCCAAGCTGTCAGAAGGCAATTCTGTATAGGGAAGTGTTTTTTTTAATGTTTAATGTTTTGTTATGTTTTTAAATATGTTGGAAGCTGCCCAGAGTGGCTGGGTGTGATGCATAAATAGCAAAATTATCATTATGGAATGGGACATCCCTATTGTCATCGGAGAAATGTTGGAGGGGATGAACTTATACAAAGCAGTTCTCCCATTTTCCCTCCTTCTTTTGTAGCTGTAAAGAACTTATACTAAGTTAGGGCTTTCTACTTGCGAAAGAGTAGATTCACTCGCGGAAGGGTCCATTTGGAGACAACCCAGCAGTTCCAACCGTCTTTGTTGAGGTAATGCTTGACTTAACAGTTTCTTGAAATGTGTACATATGCAAATGTGACGGCAGAAGGTTGGAGACAGCAGTGTTCCTTTGCTCCCAGTGAGCCTGTGGCAACACTGATGCCCAACAGGGGAGTGTTCACTGTTGCAAAGTTCTGGCCATGTGTTTCTGTGAAAATGGTCTGTATCACCCTGCGCTATGTCAAACTAAGGTAATTTGACATGATTAAGTGTGTGTGCTTTCCCCCTCTTTTGCAGTGTCCATATGCTCATTTTAAGTTCTGGCATTGCAATTGTGTGCTTGAGCACTCTAATTATTTTTTTCCTGCAAAGGTCAGCATGTTAGCACTCTCAATTGCCTTTCCCCCTGCTAAAGTAGAGATGAAACCTGCAATAAGCATAGATGAAGCAGGCGGCTGCCTCGCACACTGAGAAATTGAGGACATTCTTGCCTTTTTTGCTTTGCCGTAATATTTTCTCTGAGGTTGAAATTCCTTGTTTCAGGGAAACAGTGGTGGTGCACTGAGTCTTGGGACCTCCAAAGCAGTGAGTGTAACCTGTAGTCGCATTTTCATATAGCCATGGCATGTTGCTCCACTGCAGACAACGACCAACCCCTTCCTTGTCACAACTTTGCTGTGGGGCCGGCTAGTTTTGATTCTGTTTTTCTTCAATAGGAAATGAAATATACTTGGAGTCAAGTGTGAAAGCTCAGTACATAACAAGAAACTTATCCAGTGGAACAGGAGACCATCTAACTAGCATGCAACATCTTGAAAATCTAGCTGAGTGCACACTGGAACGCGTAAGAATTTAGAAGGGATGGTAATTTCCAATGATATGCTAATATCCCAAGCATTTTTTCCCTCTGCTTCCTCATTTCCATAGCTTTAAGGCGCTAAGTATATAAAAAAGGGAAACGCATGTTGAAACGGTTTTCTTTTATGTGATGCCTAATGACTTAACAGTTAATGAGAATGTTGGAGACTTGATGATTACTGCACATGATAGGGCGGTCTTGGGTTTGTGGGTTTTGAATTGCTGGTGAGCTGTCCTTCCTGCAGCTAACCCCTGCTTCCCTAGCAAGTCTCTGTTTCCATCTTGGTGCGCTGTTGTGGCGGCGTTCGCCCTCCCTGACCCCCACTGCTGCTACTACAGCCTCTTGAGCCTTCCTCTCCCTGTACATTAATATTATATTAAATATATGCAGTAAGAAATGGGAACAGTAATGATCTCCCTTTAAGGTGGGGGTGTGTGTGGAAACCGAGTGGCATTAATCTAAGAAAAGAAGGGGGAGAAAAACCTGCTGTTTTGGCTGCATTAAGTCTCCCAGCAGGATTTCTCCTGCTTGACCTTACGCAGAGCCATTCCCTTAGCAACTTTTCAAAGCAGAAAGAAAGACAATGTTGAAAAAGAGACTAAAACACTCCCCCCATTTCTCAGCTGAATATAAAGTTGGAGGGATGACCTTAATTATTTTTTTAAAAAATGGAAAACAAAGCCTGGCCAACAGGCTGCCGAATTTGTTTTTGGGTCACAGTTTTTTTGTTTTTGTCCATGGGTTTAGAATTGCTTTAGTTTTAGACTCCTTGGGGCTTCTAGTCTGCGGCACCATCGCTGGGTTTTGTTTTGTTTGATACAGGAAGTGAAGCAAACAGGATTTTCTGTGGCATGAAATGTTTCTGGAGTTACTGAGCATTAACTTTGTCAGCAGGTGCCTTTTGTTTTCTGAAAGTGCAAAGTCCCGAGTTCTTACTACTGTACAGCCAAGAAAGAAAGAAGAAGAAAGGGATTGCAGTCGGATTATTTTAAAATCTCCTGTATTGATTTTGAAACACTTTATTTATGGCAATGCGATTTTACTGTTACTGTAGCCCTCTTCAGGCACAGCAGCCATGAATGATCAGAAAAGAACTGCCCCCTTTGCCCTGTTCCCATCACCCCCCTGTGCTTTTGCCAACTTCCCTACGTTTGGGTATCTGGTTTGCAATGGGTTCCTTTTCTACTTGGGGCTCCCTGCATGATTAGGGATGCTGATCTTAAGAACATAAGAAGAGCCTTGTGGGATCACATGGCCAATGTTATCTGCCAACTTCCTGTTCTCAAGGAGATGCCCGTGGAAAGCCCGCATGTAGGACATGAGTGCAAATGGCGCTGTCCCCACTTGCGCTCCACAGCAACAGCGGAGAACATAGCCATTGTGGCTAGCAGGCACTGATAGCCTTATCCTTCGCGCATTTGTCAGATTCTCCATTGTCTAATTCAGAGCTTTCCAAAGGGTGTGTCGCAACATGTTAGTGTGTCAGCTGCAGTGTGTAAGTGTGTCGCGTGAACTCTCCCCGTGCTCCTCCTGGGGCTGAAAAGGGGCTAGTTTATTCTCCAGTTTGCTAGTAAAACCGAATGGCTGTGTCGCGAAATGATGCGTGTCTAAAAAGTGTGTCTCCAACAAGAAAAGTTTGGAAAGCTCTGGTCTAATTTGTCCATGAGTTTGCTTACTCCCCAGTCTCCCAGAAACCTCCATGGGTTGAAGGGGGAAGAGTTGCCAGATACGGGGCAACTGGAAGGAGCCAATGATTGGGAGGGGAGCATCATTTCCTGCTTTCCCCCTTAGGTTTGTCCCTGCAACACATGAAGAGAGCTTCTTTCTATCTGTTTTGTTTTATTGATCATTACATTTATATGCTGGGACGCAGGTGGCGCTGTGGGTTAAACCACAGAGCCTAGGACTTGCTGATCAGAAGGTCGGCTGTTCAAATCCCTGCGATGGGGTGAGCTCCTGTTGCTCGGTCCCTGTTCCTGCCAACCTAGCAGTTCAAAAGCACGTCAAAAGTGCAAGTAGATAAATAGGAACCACTCCGGCGGGAAGGTAAATGGCGTTTCTGTGCACTGCTCTGGTTCGCCAGAAGCGGCGTAGCCTTGTTGGCCACATGACCCAGAAGCTGTATGACGGCTCCCTCGGCCAATAAAGCGAGATGAGCACTGCAACTCCAGAGTTGGCCACGACTGGACCTGATGGTCAGGGGTCCCTTTACCTTTACCTTTTAAATTTATATGCCACTTTCCCTCTGTGGAACTCAAAGTGGCATGCGTTTTCCTTCTCGTTATATCCTCACACAACAATCCTGTGTGACATAAGCCAGGCTGAGAGACTGTGGTTGGCCCAATGTCACTTCATGTCAGGGATTTGAACCCTGGTATCCCCGGTTCTAGTCCAGCACTCTAACCACTGCACCACACTGTCTATACAGCACACGTTTTTTATATATATAACATTGCCCTTTATTTGAAGAGCTGATGGTGGTGCAAATGCGGTTATCCCATTTCATTCCAACAACTGCCCCACAAAGAAGGTGAGGCAGAGTGAAAGGGCTGTTTTGCACAGACTTATCAGCCAGCTGATTAAGTTCTGCTAGTATCTGTGTGCTTTGGCTATCCTAGATCTGGCACTATAGGTAAAAAATGTTGCATCACCTTGAACACAGTGCTTTGGCGCAGGGTCGGTGCCCTCATCCACCTGCCAGCCTGCTGCTACATGGAAATCTAAAGATGCATGTAAGCCAGAGTTTGATGAATTTTTGACTCAGTTGGAAAAAAAACATTATGTTGGTGGCTGAAACTGCAATTTGCCATTCCTCCTCAAAGTTGGTTCCAGGAAAAACTGACTGGCTTGTAACAGAATGGGGAGGCTAGATTTGGAGAGGTGGTTGTCACTTATTGCACTGCCCTAAGCAGAAACATCTCCTGTTGTTCCACTTCTTGGCTGGATCATGGACATTCTTTCAGATATGTGTGTCTAGGATCCAGCAATGAAGCAATACCCATGGATATATTTCTGCTTAAGAAGTGTGATAATACACAGTACTTCAAGTGCATTACATCCAAGTAAAATATGATTAAAACTCCAGTCTCGGTTTTAAAATTGCAAATTAATTCTTTTTTTTTTTTTAATTACTGGGTAGTTAGTTCCCAAGTGTTGCTAAAAATGTACATTGTACTGTGTAAATAACTCCCTGCAATCCTACTGGCTTCTAAAACAGCTGTGTCTTATTGCACAGAAGATTAAAATAACATCTCGGCTTTTATGCTGTGCTGGTAACACAGAATAGGACTTCCTAATTTTATTTTATTTTTATCTCGAGCATGAGCTGCGCCACTTCCCTAGTCCAATTCAGCAACATGTGTGTAGGCCGCAGAGTAAGAGCCACAGCAGGAGTGGGGAATCCTTTTCAGCCTGGGGGCCACATTCGCTTGTGGGGGCCAGTGGTGGGCGGGGCTAGAGGCAAAAGTGGGCGGGGCAACGAATATAATGTTTACTATTGTACACCAGGCTAGTTTCCAGGCACGCTCAAACAATCCCCATCTACTTGATTCTTTATCCAGAGAAACAAAACCCAACGGTGAACTCCATGGGTTGGACTAGCCTGGTAAGGCAGTTGCCAGGACTGAGGATCTGAGCTTCCCACTTCCTCTCAAGGCTCCTCACCAGCCGGCTGCCTACCCAACAGTCACAAACTCCTTCAAGGAGGGCTCTCTGTGCCTTTTGTTCTGCTGCATGCAACCCCCTCTTTGTTCTTGGGGACAGAGGAGTACGGGAGAAGGAAGCAGTGGAACTGGCAGGTGGCTGGGGATCTGTTGCAACATCAGTCGCCTTCTCAGCAGCCTCAGTCGCACTTAAGCCTGTTGCTTGCTCATCAGTCGCCTTCTCAGCAGCCTCAGTCGCACTTAAGCCTGTTGCTTGCTCATCAGTCGCCTTCTCAGCAGCCTCAGTCACACTTAAGCCTGTTGCTTGCCCATCAGTCGCCTTCTCAGCAGCCTCAGTCGCACTTAAGCCTGTTGCTTGCCCATCAGTCACCTTCTCAGCAGCCTCAGTCGCACTTAAGCCTGTTGCTTGCTCATCAGTCACCTTCTCAGCAGCCTCAGTCGCACTTAAGCCTGTTGCTTGCTCATCAGTCACCTTCTCAGCAGCCTCAGTCACACTTAAGCCTGTTGCTTGCTCAATCTCCAACCCGTCTGCACCCCTGTCTTCCTCTGACCTGTCTCCTGCATCCCACAACCATTCTCCTGGCTCAGAGCCTTCCCCCTCTGATGCTTTCCTTGCACCATTCCTCCTTGTCTAGCCAGTCCCTGACAATCATGATGAGTTGTTCTCCTGCTACTTAGAGATGGGTGCTGGGAGAGAGGGAAGCTAGAGGTACATGCAGCCTCCTGTTTTCAGATCCTGGAATTTTCTCACTCTCTGCCAGCCCCAAATCATTTCCAAACAATCCAAAAGGCATCTCTTGTCTCAGCAATAGGCATCTGGTCCTCTCCAAGATCTGGTCCAGATCTTGCTGTGACAAATCTGTTGTAAAAAAACCCCCAAAAGTATTTTGCCAATACATCTGGCATCTGGGAATGGTTATTCAACAGAGATAAGGAATAGACAGAAAATAAAAATGCAGTGCTCTTTTCATGGCAATCTCAAATCCATATGGGGCACCTCTTGACTGCTGCATCGTCATCACATGAAATGGCCATCAACCATAGCAAAATTGTATCAAATTTAGTTAAAAACTGGAATATACAATAATTAAAAGAATAGAATGATCCCATTAAAAACCAACCTAGGCAGCATAAAATACTTCTAAGATGGCATTTAAAACACAGGTGAGAATAAATAGTTTCAAGTCTTGAGAGAATAAGGAGGTACAAAGAATGCTGTCTAGTACAGAGTCAGACCATTGGTCCATTTAGCTCTGTATTGCCTACTACAAATTAGAGAACACTTTGGTGTGAGAGCTCAGAAGGGTTTTCTTCCCTCCTTGACTTGCGAGCAGA